CGCAGGGCCTCAGGTCAGCTGATCAGAGGGGTCACACATCTTTGTGTTGCTGCCCTCTAGATCCCTCCAATGAGCCATTTATTTTATCCTATTTCTAATGTGCATGTTTTCTTTGAAACAATCCGTCTGTTTTCCTTCCGAAACTTATTTCAAAAGCATCAAAGTRCAACCAAAGCGCGTTTTCTCGTTGACTCACATGTTCATTCACATATTAAAATAAAAAACAGTCACTGGTTTTTACTAATTTAATGGGAAACGGTGGATATTGTGGAGGCAGCACAGTCCGGTGGAGGCTCATGGCGCAGCTGTGAAAGCTGACCTCTGGAAATCACTTTTCTGTTTCAACCTGCTTTAAAAAACATAATCAGTACATGTCCTGCGATTCATTTATTTCACACATAATGATGTTTTTTGAGGGACAGGGAACCAAACAACCATGCTCTCACTTAAACCTTGAAGTTGCCATTTAGGCTAACCAGTTAGTCTTAACATAGAAATTCTTGACATTCTTTAAAAATGACATTTTGTAAATAAAGGACTGTTTAAGGCAGATTCTGTAATACTTCAAGTTAGTTTCCCTTTTTTCTTCCTTCTTTGCTTTTGAAATTGTCTGATAATATTCTTTTAAATTGAGAGTTTAACTCTTTGCTGCTATTTGAGACACCTGTCCTCTCTAAACACATTTCAGCGTGTCAGAAAATGTTTCAGTCTTTGTGAAACTACAATTATTTCAGTGTATTTATTTAGTGCCAGGTCACTAGACTGTTGTGTTGTCTCAGGGCACGGTAGCCTACAAGAAACAGCATTTTATAAAGAACAATAACTACAATAAAAATAATTATATCATTAGCTTCAAATATACTTCATGTTCATTTGATGGATTTCAAAATAACATAGTCGCTCTGTGGTGCTGAAGCTTGTAAGCCCCTCTGTTGCAGGCATGTCACTGATTCTTGAAACTTTGGCAAAAACATGTCCCAGTACAAAAAGGGCTCATTTCTGTTAGAAATAATAACATTTTCATAAATAAATTAATCTAGGTTATACAAGGGTCCTTTGCACAAATGTAAGATTGTTTTATTATTATTTTTATTTGCATTTATTTAATGATTTTCTGCTGGCATACTGCCCACAACAGCACTTGTCCTCAGACAGGAGATATTTAGTTCAACTTGATAAAAAAAACAATAATAACTAGAACTGCAAAGCAGTTATGACCGGGGTCCAAGCCCTTTTATGCATGTCAGCCTTTGTCATGTTGTTTGTAGCATATTGTTGATCTTTTAGCTTCTTGGACAAATTTCTCTCCAACAAACTAAATAAATAAAACTTGAGAAGTTTGAGTATCAGAATTGTTTGTTATATATCACATACTTTATGCTGTGAATACT